TTCATTTTGAAAATTTTACATTTAAAAGTATACATTTTATAAAATTAAAAAGCCTTTTTAAAAAATGTATTTTGTTGTTACAGGGTCTCACTTCACAGCTTAGACTCATAGCGATCCTCCTGTTTCCAGCCTCCCCAGCACTAGAGTACAGGCGTGTGCAGCCACACCCAGTCTCTGTGGCCAGCTCATTGAGCCCAGGGGCAGGGCATGTGCAGCATGTGGTGTCCGGATGGAACCCCAGTCCCCGCACTTGTCTAAGCAGACACTTAGTCTGCTGAGCTATCTTGCTGGCCCAAAATTAAAAAGTATTTTAAAAATCTTTTAGGGTATCATTTATTGTTTTACCCTTAGTTGTACATTCTTGTTTTCTGACAACTGATCTTTACAACTATTGACACATTAGGGCTGAAATCAAAAACCATTGTTAAAGAAATGCTTCGCACAGAAAACCTGTCCATACCTTCTATATTAGCATGTACCTTTAGCAAAGCCAGAAATCCTTATTAAGTAAACCTCCTTCATGACAAACGCTATTGATATACTAGTATATTTTAAAAAGAAAGACTTTTATACCAATCAGAAATTAATGAGGTCAATTTACAAGTCTTCAGGATGTCATCCTTGGAAGCAACAGGACAATGACTAAGTAATTATTGTCTAGGTATTTTTGCATTTTCTACAAGGAATGTAGGACAGATAATTTTCCTTAAGTTAAAAATATACCTTATATAAGGTAAGGTATAAATCAAATATACCCATAAGATAAGGGTATGGAAGAAGGTACAATAACATGGATTGAGCTGAAGTTTGGGCAGACATAGTTGTATTAACCATGGATTATGTAACTATTATTATTAGAGTTTTGTTGAGAAGGCATATTTGATTTATTATTTAAGGATGTTTTAGATTATAAATTTATATATAAACCATGTCATTACATTTATCTTTTATAAATGAAAATAATTAATGTAAAATATCTCAATTCCTTTTTAGCAATTACATGACCCAGATGTGAAGATCAAACTCAAGATGCAGTTCCTAATTTATCCTGCACTTCAGGCTTTCGACTTAGATTCTCCATCATACAGAGAATATTCACATATGCCAAGTCTGTCAAAATCACTGTTGGTCCGGCTCATGAGTGAATACATTACCACAGACAGGAAGCTGGAGAAGGCCATGCTTTCCAATCGACATGTACCTGAAGAATACAGTCATCTCTTCAAGTTTGTTAACTGGAGCTCCTTGCTCCCTGAAAGGTTTAGAAAAGGACATGCCTATAACAACCCAACTTATGGTAGTCCTGAGTTGTCTCAGAAGTACCCTGGGCTCCTAGATGTGAGGGCAATGCCTCTGTTGGCAGATGACAGCAAGCTGCGTGGTTTACCCCTCACCTATGTCCTCACGTGTCAGTATGACATCTTAAGAGATGATGGACTCATGTATGTCACCAGACTTCGGAATGCTGGTGTTCAAGTGACCCATAACCATGTGGAGGATGGATTCCATGGAGTATTTGCCCTTCTGGAATTTAAAATTGGTTACAGACTGATAGATCAATACATTGATTGGCTAAAAGAAAATCTATAGTGAAATGTGTACTAATATATTTTACAAATATCGTCAATCTCAAAGCTTCAGAAAATTGGGGCCCAGGAGATAGCTTAGTAGAATAAACATGCTTGCCTGGCAAGCATAAGGGCCTGAGTTCAATCCTTGGTTCCGTAAAAAAAAAAAAAAAAGCTTCAGAAAATTTGTATTAGAAATTGACCTTATTTGGAAGGGTCAACTGAAGACGCAAATGCATAAGGTCCAAAGCATAATAATTCTTATTGCAAACAAAAACTTTGTTTTAAGGATTTTATTCAACATTTCACAATGTGAATGTGCTATTTCTGAAAATTTTTCTCTTGCATTGTTCATCTTACTTTTTAATATATTTCATATATTAAATCTCTTCTGTGGTGGCTATTATTTTAAATTATAGGAGGAAAAAATATGAGACAGGATTGCTTGTCTGAGTAATATTGACATTTCCACCAACGTGTGTTCGGGGATTAGAGAATTCCTATCCATTTCAGTACAAAGTCCTTTCAAAAAGCAGCTTCCTCAGGTCCATGTCAAATTTATCGACTTGGAAACATTTCTAGAATCCAGGTACCAAGTGTTATATTATCAATGTGGATGATTATTGTGGCATGTTGAGGAGTTAGCTGTGGATTTGGGGGATGGTAGAGTAACTGAGATTCAGTAAAGGTGTAAAAAAGTCTTTAAGATAGGCGATGACTTAGTGACAACCAAAGACTGTATGTGTAAGTAGATAGCCAACAATAATAATAATAATAATAATGACGATGATGATGATGATGATGATAGAAATTGATCTGTGACATGGCATGGAGGAAGGCAAGATAACATGGACTGAGCTGAAGTTTGGGCAGATATATTTGTACTAACTATGAACTGTGTAATGCATCACCATCACCATGAGTGAGCACATGGACAGACATCCTCAAGTGTGCAAGAGCCGCTTCAGTGTCATGATGGCTGCCAAAGACAGTGTCATCTCTTTGGACTTCAACAGTCTGAGTGTTTTGTGTTGACACTCCTAATTATGTTTTGAGTACCACTCAAATATTTTGCACAACCAGAGATGGGTGAAGAAAAATAACTACATTTGTGTTTATTCCATTCTATGAAGAAAAAAATAGTAATCTCAGAAGTTTAACTAATAGACTTTTGTGTAACTATAAACAGAAAGCAGAAACTTCTAGGGAGGATTTCAAGTAGTAGAGGTGCTCACGGTTTTAGCATTCAGAATGATTTTAAAGTTCTGGTGGAACAATCACATCCATTGGGGTGCTGGAAGTGACTAGATCTGGTGCTTGAAAGAGAAGCCAGGCCTGGAGGTCAGTGTGGGAATCCTAGAGAAACAGCCAGAAGAGACTCAAGGGAAAGTGCTAGTGAATGGGAAGCAGGCAGGCAGGAGGAGGGTAGGCTGAAAACTGGTAGAGGAGTGAAGTCTTGTGAGCAGAGGTGAGGAGTTAGAAGGAGGACATGGAAAGGCCCATGCAGGAGAAGAACAGAAAGATACCCCTGTTGTTAACTCCAGCAGCAGAGTCCTGGCTGCTGGCAGAGAAGGATTAGAAACCCAAAGCAGGGTACATGCTGTTATGAAGTGGTTTCACTGCCAGATACAGTCTGCTGAGTGTCCCTCAGGCCCGTGCTGCAAATGCCTATACAGCCCTGAGCAGCTAGTGCAGGGACTGCTAAGTATCTGATTCTATTGCCTACCTAGTCCATTGGTTCTGAGGTGGGCCATCATTTATTTGGAATAATTTATGTCTTGGCTAGAAACAAAAACAAATTAGAATTATAAGCAATTGAACTCCAATGTACCAATGGTAAGAAAACAGAGCTACTGGTGCTTTTGCCTCTCAGTATTATACAGCAGGAAAATAAATCACTGGAAGAAGTCAATAGAAATCTATTTTTAACATTAGTTATTGGGCTTCTGGATCCTGAATAGACCCAGAGGCAAGTAAGTGAGACCACCCGGGGCCCGTGGATCCTGAATAGACCCAGAACACAGGCCCTGCATGTGAGTGAGATG